AAAATGTTGACATCATGTAAACGACTACTTTTTGAACAGCCACCATCATCAAGGTAGTTATTGTCTGTACCTTCTGCATTTCATTTTGTGGAGTCCTTGGGCTTCTCTGAGCTTGTTTTCTTGCACACATTTTGTTACCTGGCTAGGTATTCATTTCACTTTCCCCAACTTCACTTACATTTTCTTAATTCTTCATGGCCATTCAATAAGAGGTGTATGTGTGCGTGTGTATGCATGTATACACACACACACACACATTTCCATTAACATAAAATTCCATCTATCTGATGAATTCTATGGAGACTACAAAAGTCTTTGCTGTCATAAATTTACTAAAGGAGAGGCAAGTCTACATAAAGATCAAATATTAATGTAGACTGATCCATCATAGATGACATGCAAACCCCTGACACCAAGAAGTGCCATTAGAGATTGACTGAATAAACTACGTTTAGCTGGGTATAAAAACAGTAACAAAAAAGTATTCAAAGTATTCAAATAAAAACAGTAACAACCAGAAGTGTAACTTGCTAAGCCACTAACAAACCCTATCAGGGTTTAGGTTGAGTTAAGCCAATCTTTGTCAAAAATATGCACTGTTTTCTCAGTATTTTTCAGGTTCCTACACTGAAGTACTATTACTTGGCGGGGTTTTAGGTGTTAAGACCATGGAAATCTGCCCCATTCCCAAAAGTATGTATGAACTGAAACAAATATAGATGAACAATGACACTATGGAGATAAACACAGAATAGATATGTACAAATATGTAAGTATTTAATTTGCAGCACTGAATCATGGTAAGAACAAGGAAGAAATGTATTTCCTCCCGGAGCCAGTTTTTCGTGAGATGGGTGGTATCTAAATCCAAAATATAAATAAATGTAGTAAAACACACTTTATTCAGACAAATGTATCATAAGTTTTCATGGCCTTGACTTTGAGGAATATGAAGGGATTTACCAAGAGATAAATCACTATCAGTATAAACAATTTGGTCCTAAAATTTTATATATGCATGTCATTACATAATAAACAAATGGTAACAAATCAACTTCCTACTTCCACTTGGAACATTCTAACCTTACTTCCAGAGTCATGTGGACACTGTACTAAGTTAACAGGTATTTATGATGACTTGTAAAATACTAGACATTGCCTGACTCCTTCTGGGTATCTGAAATGTTATGTTTATTTACACATATAATTTGCTATGTTCCAAGTAAAGCATGGATAGTAGACAAAATCATACTATCAACAATACTTGTCACCCATTTCAGATAGTTCATGTACCACTTGATTATTAAGCTTTAATAAAAAGGTTAATGATGAATCCTGAAGATAATTTTAGTACAGGTTAATTTGCATCTAAGTAGCTGGCAGGTATCTCTTCGAATACAGCAGTTTTCTTTGAAGAGTCTATATGTAACACTTTTGCGATTTTAGTCTAGCCAGATGGAAAAACTTTCAAAAGTTTTACATCATCCACTGGACGATCTTGTGCATTCGTTTCCACCATACCCACTCTGTTGACTATCCCAATTCCTTGGCAAACACGACCAAAGATGGTGTGCTTGCCATCAAGCCACTGGGTTGGTGCTAATGTAATAAAGAACTGGCTTCCATTTGTATCAGGACCTGCATTCGCCATAGCAAGGATTCCTGCACCTTAAGGAGAAAAAATGTTACCAGTTTATGATTTTTAAGATAATTGTATCAAACATGCAAACAAAACAAATGCTGGATATGTATTGCATATCATTCCTTTACAGGTATCAAAATTCAGAATCAAGTGTACTGAAATTATAGGACTGCTCATGGACTTCAGATAGCTTTTACACTTATATCAACTACTAAAATATGCATTTAAGCTCAGGGGATGTTAGGGAGGCATTAGCCCTTAAATGGGTATGTTCCTGTGATTGCATAGCTACTGTAGGAGACCAGGAAAAGACATGACTTCATTAAGATGCCACTGACAGGTATAGCACATATGCCCATACTGGGTCTGGAGCACGCTTCCCACCTCATATCCAAATGCCTGTGCATCTCTGTTGACTAATAACTGGCATCCACAAGCCCTTATAATACTATATACCTTTCCCAGCACTTTCTGGAGCATGCTATGTGTCATTCTCATCACTTCTAGGGTATCTTTTTAACTAACAATTTTCTAATCTCATCTGCTAAACCCAAACTTAAAAGCCAAGATCTCTGTCACTCATCTGGTTGATAAAACAGGCCAGAACTTTGGGCTTAAGTTTTTGACAATATCAAGGGACACTTAAAGGGAACCAACTTCTTCTCTTGCTTGCAATGATGAGGTGGCAGGAGGAGGGCACTGCATTTCTGCAGTGACAGGGAAAGGCTGAGCTGGTTCATACCCATAGCAAATGACTACTGCCCAACCTTGGTCAGACTTTATTAACAGGACCAAACTAGTATTTAGATAAGTTGGACCTGATTACAGTAGTACTTTGATGAAAAACCACCCAGAAAACTCTAGACTGGGAATTAAAAAAAAAAAAAGACATTCATAAACTACTTTTGTATGGTTACCAAAAAACTACATGGATGTCTCCATACAGTCACCAGGAGTTGAGTGCATCTTAAAAGAGTCTTTACCTTTTTATCCCTTCCAGGTAGATAATTATTTTGGAGCTCTGGATTTTCCTCCTTGGATCAGGCAGCCCTCCAGACAATCATACCCTTGTCGCCTCATGGCTCAATTACTGCAATGAGGTCTACATGGGCTGTCCTTGAAGACCACTCAGGAACTTCAACTGGTACACAATGCAGAGATGCAAACAGCGATGGGCTTGCCTTGGCGTGCCCACATGACCTCCCTCCTGCCCAAGCTGCACTGGTTGCCAGGTGTGATTCAAAGTGCTGGTTATCACCAATAAAGGCCTACGTGGCATACAGCCAGGTTATTTGAGGGACTGCTTATCTCCCATGGTTTCTACCCAGCCTGTACAATCCAACAGTTTAAACAGTATCATCCAGCAGGACCCAGGAAATGTCCCTTCCCTTAGTAGTGCCTACCCCTCTGGAATGAGATCCTCTTGAGAAAGGCATTCTGAAAGGCCTTGAAAACCTAGCTATTTTCCCAGGCCTTGGGACAGGTTGGATGGACTTGCGTGTTATCTGGATTGCCATCCTGTAACTATTTTGTAATATTTTAGAATTTATTTTTATTCTTATTTACTAGTTTTTGTTTTTGTTTTTACTTTGTGAGCTGCCCGGTCAGTTGGAGCCAGGCAGAATAAAAAAATCTAAACAAATAATTTTAAAAGAAATTATAATAAAAGTTTATTAATTAGATTTGTGTGCAGTCATTACCAATTTGGCCATCAATAACTAATGGGGAAATAATGTCAGATGTGTCTTTAAAACACAGTATTACCCAATTAATTTAACATCAGATAGTGAAGCATTTATCCTAGAAGATTTAAATCCTTTTGAAGGATTACCTACCTGTAAACTTCAGTTCTGGGTGGAGCTCATCTTCAAATTGCTTGCCAAAGATCGATGCTCCTCCTCTTCCTACCACAACAAGAAGACTAATTAATTAATTTGGAAAGCCAAAATAGAAACTGCTTCCTGTGAGTCTGTGTTTCTAGGACACCTAGATTTAATGAGACTGATGCAGGAATTTGAGGAGAGGCAGAATGGACAGACTGCTGTCATCTTAATATCACCTTTGCATTATACATTGGTTTTTATCTACAATTATAGATAGAATATGTCTAACACATGTATTTCGAATGTGTTCTTACCAGTTCCTGTTGGATCACCCCCCTGGATCATGAAATCTTTGATTATCCTATGAAACTTTGTGCCATTGTAATAACCTCGTCTGGACAGCTCAGCGAAATTTTTGCAAGTCTTGGGTGCATGCTTCCAGTACAGCTCCAAAACAATGAGCCCCATACTGCAAAACAGAGAGAATTCTCATGCTATTTAATATTTAATGAAATACTAAATATTAAGATGAAAAGGTACATCATGATATAATCACCAATAGGGCACCTTCATTTTTCACAGTGGACTTTGAAGAAGCAGGACAGAAAAGGTACTGATGCTTTTGAACTTTTGGTGTTGGAGAAGAGTTCTGAGAATACCATGGATAGCCAAGAAAACAAACAAATGCATCATCAAACAAACTGACCTAGAGTTCTCACTAATTATCCTACTCAGACACATTATGTGAAGACCTAGCTCTCTGGCTGTAATGCTGGGAAAGGTGGAAGGAAAGAAAAGTTATAGCTGAACCTTTGCGTGTCAGAGAGATGTTCAAGGCAGAAGTACACTGTCCCCCAAAGAAAGGAACTGTACAGGCTCAAAAAGGGGCAAAACCACTTCCAAAGAAGCTGTAACTTATGCTAAGAATAGCAGAACCATTGTCAACATACACAAATAACTGGTAAAATCAGGATATCCCAGCGTTTCTCAACCTCAGCAAGATACGTGGACTTCAACTCCCAATTCCCCAGCCAGAATTCTGGGAGTTGAAGTCCACATATCTTAAAGTTGTTGAGGCTGAGAAACACTGGGATATTAGCACCTCTCAACTCTTTCCAAAACAGCTTTTAGGAAACTTGTCCGGAATCGGTTCATCCGACTATAATCGTTCCCGCACTGACTGGCGGAGGCTTTCCAGGAGACATTCTCTAGCCCGTGCTCAGACTAAATCTGGGACCTTCCGTGAGCAAAAGATGCCCTTTATCATCCTACCAAGCCCTTTCTCACACCTACGTGGTTTCCATTGAAACAGTTGGCGGCTGCCAAGTGTCCGGAGGCACCGCAGCCATGCTTCCTCCTCGCCTGATTCATCTGCCACTGGGGGAACCAAATCCTCGAGCCACACTTCCGGTACCACCGGTTACGTCGTCCCCTCGCAAGGGAAAGTAGAAAGGGGCGTGGCTGATGGGATTCCGCAAGCCTTGGGCCAATCGCTATAAAGGAGTGTAGAATACTATTGTGACGGAGACAAAAGGGGGAAATTTGAATTTGCTGTTGCCTCTTTTTTGGCTGTTTGTAAAGAGCGGAGGAACTTTGCGGTGAGAGCGTAGGGGAAATGGTACGCTGGAGGCGGGGATGGATTGCATGTTGCATGGAGGGGTGGATAGGTTTACGTATGAAAGCCGTTGTGCTAGAGCTGCCCTTCATGGGATTTAGGGAAGTTTAGGAACGAAGTGAGCGCGTGTGCGTGTAAAACATTGAATGGAGACTCGATTTGCATCTTGCTCTTTAAGGCAAATTAAATACCCATCTTGAAAGCGTATTTACTTAGGAGCTAAGACTTGCAATGCTGAACAGATCAGGGAATCAGCCCCGTCCCCTGAGCAGAGCGAGATTTTCTTCCAAGCAAAGTCAACTGCGTCCTGCCTGCCTGCCTTCCTTCCTCCCCGTTACGTTTGTGTAAACTGTTTTGTTTTTAACGGGTAAGGCAAAGGAGGCCTCCGCGTCGTTCCATTCAAGAAACATCAGCCTACTGCTCAAATGATTGTAATTTAGTTATTTTAGTGACAGGATGGTCAAAGGATCTCACTCCCAATCCTCGGATACACGAGAGAAAAAGAGCGCAACAGGCCGAACGGACATGGATATGATGGCTTCATTCTTGCCTGAAATAAACCGCGGTCAGGGCTAGGCTATTTGGAAGCTCGCTTGTTCTCCTTAGTTCAATTCTGGGGGTAGAACAGCTGCTCTGGGGTGCCATTATGCTTAAAACTGTTATTGTCAGTGTTCTTGAATAATAACAGCCAAGAATTTTTATGTTCATCCCTAAGTTGAAAAGAAAAGCGACATAATTTTCATTTGAATTACCTGAGAAGTTGTAACACTGTAAGCGCAGCATTCTAAAGTCTTTAGGTTTAAGTTCTTCCGGCCCCACTTTCTGCCCACCCCCTTCATGGGAGAGAGAATAATGTAATGAAACTACTCTGCAATTTGTAACAATTTTAAGAACAGGAAGTCCCTAACAGGTTTAATTTAACCACATCCATCCATCCATAAATACCCATTCAAAGCACAGAGTAAGATGTAGTTAGGCAAAAAAAAAAAACTCAAAAATCCAAACAAAGGCAAGAGAAAATAAAAGATAACTAAATTATATCAACACCATTTACTCTCCACACCTCTTTATTCTTGCAAAGCAGTCTTGCTTTCCCCATGTCTAGGCACTGCCTTTTGTTCTTTAAACTTCTTGCCTCTCTTTTTGAGGATCTCATCAACTCCATCCACCCTCTTGGTCTCCTATTCCATTCAACCCATTTGCTTTTCCCTTGCTGTTTATATTTTCTCTGCAGTTCAATCCTCATTCATTCTCATATGACAAAACCACTTCAATATATTCCTTTTGTAGTAGTAATTCAGTGATGTATTCAGTTCATGTTCATTCTGCACCCATTTATCCTTGACATCATCCATTCTTTTCTAAAGTACCACGTGCAATTGCATTCGACTTTTAGACTTGTTTCCAGTTCTCGCTTCCGTATAACTAAGTGGGCAGAAGCAGTTTTACTGTATATACAGCCATTTGCACTTCTTTCAATAAACATTCATTCCTCTAACAGACCACACACTACTTACATATGTACTAGTACCAGACCACCATCTTTTTACCAGTGTTTGCACATCTTAACATTTCTTTATCCGTTTCCCCATCTACCAAAGAATCCTGATTTTTCATCATTTGTTTGTAACTTGTCTACTTCTTTTTGCCTGTCAACACAACATCCTTGGTCTTTGATACATTCCTGCTGAAATCCATAATCCCCATACAATTCATTTAATATTTGCTGCAAATCATTTGTGTTCTCAGTCAATAACATATAGCAGCTACATACAAAAATGCACAGCTATTCATATCCTCAATCAACATGCCTCTAATATTGCTGCAAGTGTTACTTATACATATATTCATAAGTACATTAAATAACTAAAAGGAACTTATTCCTTGCTCATTATGGAACAATTGTCTAAGCATTCCATTCATTGTCACACACACTTTATTTCCATCATGTGTCACTCTTAGCACATTCAGCAACCAACCTTCAGTTCCATATTGACAAAAAATGATCCACAATTCTAACCAATTTGCTTTATTGTACACTTATATAAATTAACAAACTTACAATAAATAATCTTTCTCACACTCATACATTTCTCAGTGAATTCCTGTAGAATAAGATCTAATCTGTGCAACTCCTGCCCAGTATAAAGCTGCAAAGGTATACTGCACTTCTCAGCTTCTGCTTCCTGACATCACTTCTGTCCTTTCAATGAGAACTTTCCCAAGCACCTTCCCAGGCATACTTAATAAACTAACCCCCCTGTAGTTTTTCCATTCACTCTTGTTACCTTTCACTTTATATGAGAGAACAATAACATTTTTTCAATGGTCAGGCACAGATGCAGGGTTTTTTTGCATGCAAATGATTAAATTGCACAGTCACTCCATAAGCAAACCCCATTCATACTTTAACTTTTCTACACCTGCACCCTTACCATTTTTCAACATTCTCACAGTATTTATTTTTGTCTATTTTTTTGTTGGCTACTAACATTCACAGCATTTGTATCATGTATCCCTATCGTTCCCATACAAATCTCTAAAACGTATCTTCCAGCATTCCTCATTTCAGTTTCATCCTAGAGCATTTCCTACCCACTTTCAAAACTGCTTGTTCTATTAAAATATTTCTGCATTTGTTCTGCCTTTTTAAATCTGAACTGGTCCTTGCTCTTTGATTACATTCTTTACCATTCTCTTTTTCTCTATATACAAATTATACCATGTCTTTTTATTATTCTCATTTTTTGAATTATTCTCTTCCATGCATTTTTTTCTCATCCACAGCTCCTTTCACTTCATTTCACCAAGCAATCTTTTTCAATCTCCCATTAGTGTAACTTGTGTAGCAATTGTTGGGTGTACTTTTTTTCCTCTGTTTCAAACAGTTTCCAAACCCTGACTTCTAGAATGCAGAAAATGTTAAGATTATTAGTAACAACTATAATTAGCACATGCACATTATTTTGTGTATTTCAAATATTTTAAAAATAGAAACTTTAAACTTGGTAACTACTATTAAATAAATAAACTAGATTGTTTTGCATGATCAAACCAGGGTTAATCTGTTTCAAATAAAACAAAAAATGTCTGAAAACCTGGAAAGTCAATGCCAATAATCTGAATATAGCAGCTTTCTGTATTCCCATCTAATTCCATTATTTTTCTAGGTATGTTCTAAGGCAGAACATATCTCCCTTAACATTCATGATGTATTTGTTATCTTCCCCCTTCAGTTATTTAATAGTATCCTTAGATGACTGCTAGAAAGCATGGAACCATCAAAAGAAGGTGAGTACAGAAAGTCAGTGTCTATGTATGTAAATATCTGCATGATATTGTTCCATACCATATCCAAGGTCATTTTGGACTAGGATCATTACAATTTGTTTCTAAAACTTTTTAACATCAGTCTTTGTAAAAAAAAAAAAATCCCCTTTATGTTTGCTTGTATAACTTTCAAGAGGGTGTAGGAATTTTTTAATACAGTGCAATGTTTAGTGTGAAGCTTTCTGTCAGATATTATGAAGAGTTTTGAGTTTGCTTATTCCAGCTGATCTCATTTGATTTAAGTGTACCTAATTCTTCATAGTTGTCTAGGTAAGTTCCACTATGACTTGTATAATTCTCAGAACATATTGAAATTATTGGCAGCAGAATCACGAATAGACAGGTGGCTTTAATTCTCTGTTTCACCACAAATTTTCCATGTGATTTGTGGCACAAGTATTAACTTCTTCAGTTCCCATGTATTTTATAAGAACTTTAAACTGCTTCTGCTACAAACAAGAGTTAGCTTTTACTTGGGAGTATTGTTAACTACAAAGTAGAAATAATAGCTGTCTCTTTTCTTGCTTAGAACTGTTAAGATGCCTAGGTAATATTTGTGATGTTCATGATTCATAAAGGTTAAATATCAAGGTTAATACTTCTAATGATTAGGATTTGTCATTTTGCAGATATAAAATTTATTACTGATGAGACACTGGATTTTGGACAGTTTTCTCCTTTGGATGGGTAAGACTGATAGGTCACTAACAATTCATAGAAGCTACGAAATGAGTAAATAGCTAGTGTGCAAAGTTGATAAGCAAGTGCCTTCAGAATCACTGACAATGTTTTTAAATTAAAAGTGAAATTAGTTAGGGTTAGGGTTGAAGTCAGGCCTAGTCCCTCCCTGCTATCTTGAGCAGTCCCCAGGATCAACCCATAGTTCTTCCAAGGACATTCGAATAATCTCCTTGATCCCGCCCATTCAACTTTTCTATTTCCATCCATCATGCCGTGCACAATAATTTTTTTCTAGTTCATCATCCACTTGTATCACATATTCAAAGTCTGTGTAATTTATGAGTTTCTACTTGCTGATCATAATTTTAAAGGAGCGTTTACTTTGTCCAGGACCAAGTGACTGGTGCTTTTTAGAGTTGGTGGCATTCTTAAGTAATTCAAAGACATCTCTCTTCTTTCTCTTGATCTGTTACAGTATCCGTCGTTCACATCTGTATGTTATCACCTGGGGGGGGAATTGCCTTAAATATTCTTATCTCTTTTGTCAGAAAATATCCATACCCTTCAGATCTTCTCTAAATCTGTCATTGTCTTCCTTGCTAGAATTACTGTACTCTCTTTACCTCTCTAGCACACTCTCCATCTCTATCAGTTCTTGAGACCAAGAAAATGAAACTATCAACCTCCGTTATTTATTTGATGTCACCTGTGAGTTCAGTAATTGTGGCTGGCCCATATGTAGCCCATATTTTTCACTTTCCATTTTTTATTTCTTAATGAACTCTTCTAAGTCTAATTTTTAAGGTAACAAAGTGATATTGCCTGTATATTTCAAATTGTAGTGCTTTGATTTTCAATTTTGATTCCAGCTATTATATTTTCCAATCCTGCCATTCTTACCTTTCATTCAGTGTGTAAATTAAACAGATACAAGGATAATATTCATCCTTGTCTGGCTCCCTTCCCTATACTGAGCTACTCTGTGTTTCAAAAGCAGTTGAAAATCAGTGTTTGGTTGAATGTATGCTGCTTATCACTCATATATTTCATCCTCTGTCTTTTTCAAGCTATCATAATAGATAATTCTAAAAGCTATTTGGATCTTTTCCTCTTTGAAATGTTGGGATTACTTTTTCCAGTTTAGTATTCAAAATGTCTCTTTATCACATTCCATAAGCTCCTCATGGTTCTTTTTCACTAAGTTAAATATACTAAATCTGTTCCTTACATTGATCTTATATTCTGACTGTATATTCTCTAGGTCAAATCAGTTGGTTCTACAAATTGCACCTGAAGATTTCATGGTGGAGTATGTATGTGTGCGCGCACGTGTATGTACGTGTGTGTGTGTGTGTGTGTGTGTGTGTATATATATATATATATATATATATATCCATTTTCTGTTTTTTACTATGTAGGATTTGATTCTGATGTCCACTCAGTGATATCCAGGTTGATCTGCATTTATATTGCTTGAAGCAGATACAGTGGTACCTCGGGTTACGAATTTAATCCGGTCCGTGACTCTGGTCGCAACCCGATTTGTTCGCAACCCGAAGCAAATTTTCCCATAAGGTTCAATGTAATTACCATTAATCTCTTCCGGCGTCCACGGACCACACGTCAAGGGTGGAAAAACGGCCGCGGACCGTGCGGCAGGGCGGAAAAATGGCCGCGGACCACGCGGCAGGGTAGAAAAACGGCCGCGGATCGCACTGCAGGGCGGAAAAACAGCTGCAGACCGCGCGGCAGGGCGGAAAAACGGCCGCAGACCACGTGTCACGGCGGAAAATGGCCGCAGATCCGGTTCGTACCCCGAGGCGGAGTTTGCAAACCGAGGTAAATTTTTGCGGCCGGAGCTGGTCGCAACCCGAAAAGTTCGTAAGCAGAGGCGTTCGTAACCCAAGGTACCACTGTATTGGCAGTGAACACAGATTTCTCTTCAATTGTTGTTGTTCAGTCATTAAGTCATGTCTGACTCTTTGTGACCCCATGAACCATATTGTGCCAGGCCTTCCTGTCCTTCATTGCCTCCCTGAGTTTGCTTAGTTTCATGCTCAATTCTCTTCATAAAATTCTATTAACATCTTCTGCATTGTTGCATTTACCTAGTCCAAATCTTCCTGTAATTCCAGGTTCCTCCATTTCTCCAGATTTTGCATTCCAATCATCCAACTAGTACTACATCCTCTTGCAATTTGTCATACAATTCCTCAGTGACTTCCATCAATGTGTCTTTAGTTGGTGCATACCCTTGTGTAACATTGATATTCACTATACGCCCTAATTCTAAAATACATTACCTACTGTGTAATAGCTAAGCACATACTTAACTAAATTCTTTTTGAGTATCAATCATGCTTCATTCCTTTGTGTGGTCTCATGTCCTTAATATGTAATGTTATCACCTGATTTAAGGGGCCAATTCTGATTCACTTAGTTCATTCACGAAATTGAGTTATTCCTAAAACAGGCAGTATAGTACATTTCATTTCTGCTTTAAGAAAGTCAGATTTTTGTTGGATCATTCTTCTTTACATTCCATGTTCCAACTTAATATGTCCTTATAAAATGAGGAATTCCTCTTTTGACAGTAACACTCAGTGTTACAAGTCAGGCTTACTTGTAGCATTGATATAGCCATGTTGTCTTCCCCAGATCTATTAATGAAAATTCAGTGTTTTTTCTCAATTACGAGAGCAGTGCCTTCTAACTTGTGGGTCTTATAATCTGGAACCAAACTTATCTAAATGTTACAGCCAGGTCTATGTTGATCTTGGCAAAAGTGGCTTGCCATTGCCTTCTTCTGGGTTTCATGTTGGAGTTCCTTCCCCTAGACAGCTTCCCTAACACCTGCAGAGCTCCAAAGATCCCTTTGTGGATCACTCTTAGCGTTGTCCCTCATCCTTCTGGTCTTACCAGCAAGGGTGACCCTACCTGAAGTTCATGCTCTTGCTGGCTTCGCTGTCAGGATTGCTGAAGCTACTGAGCTCCCTGGGAGGGTGAAAGTGGAGGCCAGTGCAAAAATTTTCTTCAAGTGCGCATAAATGAAGATCTTAATGGATCAAATAAATAATTTGGGAGAAAGGTGAAAATATACAAATGATTCTAATTTTTTTTGTCCACTCCTTAAATTAAAATATTACATATTTCCAATATATTTTTAAATTAAAAAAAATAGCAGTTGAAAATACTAATACTGACAAGCTTTATTCTGGTTTCGTACAAAAGCCAATACTTCGAAATCTGGCAGGATGGGAGCCACTTTCTTAGGTTAACTTATATTCTTCTTTACGATATTTACATGCCTCCCCATAACAAGTGTACAATAATAATATGAAACTTTATTCTGAGTTACATGGCTGTTTCCTTGTGTGTGGACATGCTTCATTTTCTTTCTCTCTCAGCATTGATGGCTGCTATAGACAAGAAGAGGAAGAGTCTATAACTCGCCCCCTTGGGCTCAGTGACAAGAGTGTGGCACAAGCAGTTGATCTGAACATTTTGTTGGGGGAGAACGATGAAAGGGCCAGAGAGCAAATTCTCCAGTGGAGCCCCCTGACTCCAGAGAAGCTGGAAGAGGTCATGAAAGAAGCTAACCTGCTGGCTGTGCAGCTTGAGAAATGTCAGCTGCTGGAAAAGCAGAATGTCAATTCTGAAACAAAGCTTGAGACAGTTCTAGAACATGAGCTTTTACCTCCAAGTAGGTTCATGTGTGCAGAGACCGAGAGTCCCCAGAACTCCCGGAGAAAGACTTTCAATGTGAACAACAGTCCTCTGAAAGCTCTGCTCCCAACAGTGGAACCAGTTACCTGCTTGGCACAAGGTTCCCCCAAAGCTCTCTTCTCCAAGGGGGGAAATCCTCATTCCTGCCTTGTGGACTTGCCTAGTCCCAGGAGACTCCAAAATGTATCTTATGTTTGCAGTCCCGATGTTCCCCAGTCTAAGCTCTCTGAACCCAAGGCCTTGATGACCAGAGTGACATCTGGCACTAAAAAGGTATGGTGGCAGGGCAGCAGCTCATACTTAGGGCATATAGATTGCAAAGATTGTGCTTAGGAAATCATTGGTTTTGATTCTGCTTTCTTCCTAAGCTTGTGTTGTTGTTATTAGTCAGCCTTTCCCAACATGGTGCCTGTGTTGGAGTTTCATTTCTCAAAACCTCAGCAATTGTCTCCTAGACTTCATAAAATTGTATATAAATTGCAATGTCAGGTTCTCCAATTGAACATGTCTATAGATATGCGTTTCATCCACACATGCCACGCAGATGATGGCTTCTTTTAAATCTAATTGCTATTACATTAGTGTGTAATCCCCCACCCCATCCGCCAAATCCCTGGACTTTTGGACTGGATGATCTTTTTTATTTTTTGTTTCTTTTTAGCATTTTAAGCTGAGATAGCAGAGTTTCGGGACTCCTTTGCCATATTGCAGCAGTTACACAGGGATCCTTTTAAACAGCTCTGCATGGTGCTTGTTAGCATTATCCTCATGTTACCATATAATGACATGATGCAATAATTCATTATAAGGATTTTTATAATATGTAACATTTCTTTATCAATTTCCCCAAGTACTTTTCTTGGTAATCTATTCAATAGCCCTGTAAAAGGTGATTAGCTTTAATCACTTCCATTTTGCAAACTTGGATCTGGAAATTCAGTATTATGAGGGAAAACTCCTCTCCTGATATCTTCTTTCTCTATCCAGAGCCCTCTCGCTTGAATACATTATATTCTCTACTCTCTGAGTTTACATTCCCAAAGTTGCCTTATGCTTCAGAAATCACAAGCAAGCCATACTATTTTAGAAGCATCTTCTGGAGCAGATCAAAATGAAAAGAGAGGAGTACTTATTACTCTTAAACAAGAATGTATCTCTATGTATAAAATCTAGACTAGTGTATACAGTCATGATCATGGGATTCTGGAAATACAGAACTTTACATTGTAGTCAAGGTCCTTGGGTTTTGGGGGGAGAGTTATATACATTTTAAAAAGAACTTGCATAATTTTTCATTAAATGTATAGTACAAGGAGAGAGAGACAGAGAAGCCTACCCTTTCAAAATCTTTAGCTTTTGCCTGGAATCTATGCCAACCAATTTTAGATTTATATGAGAGTTGTTAGAAACTGAAGATTGTTTAGGGTAGGAGTAGCTTAGCTGCATTCCCCAAATGCTTATTATGTGACTCTTGAAGTCCCTTTTATCAAAAACCTTGCCAAGGTTTTCACCATTCCGAGGTGGAATACAAACAAAGTTCAGTGTGTGCCCTAAAATAGGCATAGTATATGTTGAACCAAACAAACAAACAATTTGCCTGCCAACTTGGGGAGTAGGTGGGAATCCAAAACCTGGCTCTACATGCAACATGCCCTTGTCCACAGTGTATCACCACCTCACCCACTGTAGCCCTCAGCTTCCATCTTCTAAATGTGAAGTACAGGTAGTCCCTGGGTTAAGAATGCCCAGTTTAAGGATGACCCATAGTTATGAATGGAACTATTGTAGCAAAATTCAAGTTAAATGGTTCCAATTCACTACACAATACTACTTAAACAGTATTGTATATTTTTATACAATAATACTGTTCCGGCTTACATACAAATTTGACTTAAGGACAGACTTTGGGAATGGAACTTGTTCTTAAACTGGGGACTACCCGTACAGCTCTTG